AATAATAATAATAATAATAATAATAATAATAATAATAATAGTAATAATAATAAAAGTAATAATAACAATAATAACAGTAGTAACAGTAGTTAGTAGCAATAATAACGATAATAGTAATAATAATGATAATAATAATAACAGTGACAGTGATAATGACAACAACAGCAACAGTGGTAATAATAACGACAATAATAATAGTAAAAAATAAAGTTATGTGATTTTTTGAAGGAACAGTAGCGAGGAAATAAAAAAAAATATTTGACGTAAAAGGTTAAAATAAATAATATAACTAGAAAGGAATGTTGTGGTGTATTGGATTGTAAAACATTCTATTTCATTACTGTAACTGGATCATGTAAGTATGACGGTTGTAGTATTGTAAACTAAAAGGAACAGAGGAGTTTAAGCCTTTAAAGTGAGACTGAGGTATAAAGGAAAAAAAAATTAGGCAACAGGATAAAATTTTTTAAGGATTGGAAAAAAAACTGCGATATCTTGTTCTATCAAAGATTCAGGTTATCTTTTTACACCGACTAATAGTGCCACGTAGCAGGACATTACACACCAAAGAAAATAAAGTGGACGGGAAGATATAGCAACATAAAAACAGTTTGAGGACAATTGGATCTATTCGGGCCTCCACTCTACAGTCACTGAAGGGGCCGATGTGTCAGGATGGGAGAAAACTGAGGATTATTGTTCATAGAAACAAGTCCATGTTCATCATCCTTAATTAGGGCTATTACACAGCCTTAAGAATTTTTGTTGCTGCTTGATGTATGCGACTTAAAGGGCCGAAACATTCCTATTCTGGTTTTTTAATTCGTTTTATCTTATTCACCCTCCTTTTATTCCCTTTTAAACCTTACTTTTTACATAAATACACATCATCTAAAATTAAAATTACAATTGATTATTCCACGGTTTCTTCGCATTTTTGGCTACTTACATTGATGCCCAATGCGTATTAGTTACTGAGATAACCTGCATAATTCATTAATCAGGAAACCTGAGAGGTTTGATTGCTTTGCAGGAGTGTGGAAGTGTGCGGGCAGCTGTCACATTTTGGTCATGCACTGGATCCACGATTCGTATTCCCAGCCACTAGTTCCGAGAAAGTATCAACTCGTGCCCGAGTTACTCGTCCCACCAGGTAATCTCTTTTATATTAGTAGAACTTACGTGTGATGCTAGCGATTATGTTGGCTGAAACGCAGATAAAGCGTAATGGGTCTTACGTTGAGGCCTAACGAATGGGCGTTGATATATATGATTGTTGTGGTAAAATAATTTTTGTTTTTTTCGTAATAATTTTTTCTTTTTTTGAAAAAAAGCTGTTTACTTTCATTGCATGGCTAGTTATTTTTTTTTTAACTGCAGAAATTTCAGGATGTTGCCGCACAGAAGTATTGCACTGGATCTTCACGGTTAGAATTACACTTCTTGATTTTCACAGTGATTTTTACGTTCTTGGAAATGGGTTCGATAATTTTTTAATTTTGTGAATTTGATCAATTGCAGATGACAGTAAAAGTGCAGAAAGTGATAGCGGCAGCGTTTTAAACATCGACAATGAGAATAATGCGAATGAACTAGGCGAGGTACGCTTATTCCATATCGCTTGTTTGTTCTCATGATTAGTTTCATGATTTTCTGCATATTTCTCTGTGGTCTTCGCTATTACCCAACTTTTAATGTCGGTATGTTTGGGATGAAGCCTGTTGCCTAGCACACCCATTTTGTGCCTGTTTTTACCGGTGTTAAATTGCAGCTCTTTTGTCTCACAAGAATTACGAACTTACATCACCTTGGTACATTTCACCTTACCGAGTATCACCGGTATAAAC